GTATTTTTTTTTTTGGTACCAGGGATCGAACTCAGGACCTTGCGCTTGCGAGGCAGGTGGCAGAACCACTGAGCTAAATCCCCAGCCCATGGGCTTCTAATATTGCAGAGGAGAAAAAAGAGGGCATAGCAAACTCCACACAGATTCTTGCAGCCTTTGTCCTTCTCACTGTTACTTCAGCTGGTCAGGGAGTGACATGGCCTCTCCTGGGTTCCACAGGATGAGGTGGGGATGTATAATCTCCCTGCAGAGAAGGACTCTGAACATCTGTGAACAGTAGTATAGTTAAGTGGGCAAGGAAGGAGCTGAAATAAATTGTCCATTTTAATACTGCTCCAAATTGAGGTTTTTAAAAATGCAATAGATACCTTTGGGTTAAGGGAAAAGCTCAGCATGCTTCCTGACAGAGGTTGTACATCAGATGGTGCAATCATTATTCAGTTTTACACTAGTAGAGTTAGGGGTGGCTAGGCCCCCCCAAAATTCAATATTGAAGTCTTTTTTCAATATATTGAAGTCTTAACCTTCACCAAATGACTTAGAATGCGACTTTAGGAATAGGATCATTGCAGATGTAATCTACTGCTCCCTCCTTTTTTTTTAAATTTTTTTTTTTCTGCTCCCTCCTTTTTCAGTATGGAGGATTGAACCCAAAGAGTGCTGAGCTCATACCCAGCTATTTTATTTTTTGGTACTGGGGATTAAACTCAGGACCTTGCACTTGCCAGGCAGACATGGCACCACTGAGCTACATCCCCAGCCCTATTTTATTTTATTTTTTAATTTTTAATTTTAGAGACAAGAGCTTTCTAGTTGCCCAGGCTGGCCTCAAATCCTCCTGCTTCAGCCTCCTGAGTAGCTGGGATTTCATGTTTTTGGTCTTTTTTGATACCAGGAATCGATCTCAAGGCCTCATGCATGCCAGACAGGTGCAGTGCTGCCGAGTTATGTCCTCGGCCCAAGTTTAGATGCAATCAGAATGGAGCAGTGTGAGCTCCAAATCCAAGGCAACCAGTGTCCGTATAAAAAAGGGCAGAGGGGGCCAGGGATTCAGCTCAGTGGTACTGCACCTGCCTCAAAAGGGCAAGGTCCTGAGTTCGATCCCTGGAACAACGGAAAAAAGGGCAGAGGGTGCCAGGTATGGTGGCACATAGCTCTAATCCCAACTACTTGAGAGGCTGAGGCAGGAGGATCTCACAGTTTGGGTAATTTAGTAAGACCCTGTGTCAAAATTCAAAAGCAAGGGCAGGAGATGTAGTAGTAGCTCAGTGGCACCTCACCTGCCTGGCAAGCACAAGGTCCTGAGTTCGATCCCCAGTACCCCCTCCCCAAATTCAAAAGTAAAAAGGCCGGGGGATGTAGCTCAGCGCTCCCTGGGTTCAATCCCCAGTGTTGAGGGGGTGGGGGGAGAACTGGACAGGAAACTTGTGGGAGAGGGCACTCACGCAGGCAGGGATGAGAGGATGCTTCTAAAGCCAAGGGATACCAAAGAGGGTCAGCAACACCAGAAGGTGGCAGGAGGCATAAAACAGATTTTTTTCTCACAACTGTCAGAAAAAATCAAATGTGTCAACATCTTGATCTCCAACCTCTGACCTCCAGAGCTGAGACAACTGATTTGTTTGTTGTTTTTTTCGGTGTGTGTGTGTGTGTGTGTTGAGTCACGGTCTCACTGTGTAGCCCAGGCTGGCCTCGAACTCATAGTCATCCTCCTGCCTCGGCCTCCAGAGTGCTGGGACTACAGGCGCTGGCTTCTTGACTGCTGAAGAGGCAGGTTACAGAGCAGGCCCTCCGCTCTCTCCCTTGTCCTTCCCCGTAGATGGAGACCGTGGTGCCCAACATCATGGAGTCGGCCTTCCACCTGGAGCAGGCCAGCGTGGGGCTGAGCTCCGACGAGAGTTTCCGCATCTACCTGGCGCTGAAGCAGCTTGTGCAGCAGCAGCCGGTGCACACGTGCCGCTTCTGGGGCAAGATCCTGGGCCTGAGGAGCAGCTACCTGGTGGCCGAGGTGGAGTTCCGCGAGGGCGAGGAGGAGGAGGAGGAGGAGGAGGGCGAGGAGCTGCTGCTGGAAGGCGCCGAGGCGCTGGAGCCGCACGGCGGCGAGGAGGAGGGTGAAGAGGACGAGGAGAAGGTGGTGGATGTGGTGCCCAAGCCGCAGTGGAAGCCGCCGCCCGTGGTCCCCAAGGAGGAGAGCCGCACGGGCGCCAACAAGTACCTGTACTTCGTGTGCACCGAGCCGGGCCGGCAGTGGACGCGCCTGCCGCACGTGACGCCTGCGCAGATCGTGTGCGCGCGCAAGATCCGGAAGTTCTTCACCGGCCACCTGGACGCGCCGGTCATCAGCTACCCACCTTTCCCGGGTAACGAGGCCAACTACCTGCGCGCCCAGATCGCGCGCATCTCGGCCGCCACGCACATCAGCCCGCTCGGCTTCTACCAGTTCGGCGAGGAGGAGGGCGACGAGGAGGACGAGGGCGGCGCGGGGCGCGACTCCTTCGAGGAGAACCCCGACTTCGAGGGCATCCCCGTGCTCGAGCTGGTCGACTCCCTGGCCAACTGGGTTCATCACACGCAGCACATCCTGCCGCAGGTGAGCCCCGCACGCACAACGAGCCCGGCCTGTGTTCTCTCCCTCATCCGTCAGACTTCATTCATTCGCAGGCAATGGTTGATAATCCGCCAGAAACTTGGGACCTGGGCCGGGTGGTACACACCTGGAATCCCAGCACTCGGGGAGGCTGAGGCAGGAGGATTGCTGTGAGTTTGAGGCCAGCCTAAACTACATAGGGAGATGCTCTCCCCCACCCCAATAAATAAATAAATAAATAAATAAATAAAATAAAATAAAAAAGGCTGCGGGTGTAGTTCAGAGTGAAGGGAGTGAAGGCCCTGGGTTCAGTCCCTGGTACAGGGGCTGGGAGGATTGGCTCTAGGAACCGAATGCATTTTGTAGCAGAATTTTCCAGATTTTGAAAAGGTTGCTTAGATCAAGTGCTGTGTATTATGGAGCACCCAGGCAAGACCCACAGCTTGTCTTCAAATGCATCAGTATTTCTGCAGCAAAGCTGACTAACTCGTTAGCTCAGACTTGCTGTCAAATGACTTATGAAAACACTTTAGTTTTCTTTTCAGTGCTAGGGAATCCAACTCAGGACCTCACACATGCTAGGCAAGTGCTCTACCCCTCTGCTACACCCCAGCCCCCAAATCCTTGTTTTCAAAGCTATTCAAATTTCTGAATTTTGGACAAGAGATGATGGGCCATACTAGGCACAGTGGTGCATGCCTGTAATCGCAGCACTTGGGAGGCTGAGGCAGGAGGATTGCTGAGAGTTCAAAGCCAGCCTGAACTATATAGTAAGACTCTGTCTCAAAAAAAGCCGGGGGGGGG